CCTTCAAGCAAACTGGATAACTACATGCAGTAGAGGGTATTCTCATTCAGATACAGGTTGCATGACAAGGCTTCTGAGGTCTTTTTCAACTGTATGATTCTATGATTAAATTATTATATACTCAGAGCTAAGAAAACTACTTAACTCCTATTTTACTTCATTTTTCTCTGCCAAGAATAATCATCTTTGGACTGGAAACGAGAGACCAAAAATAAATGGCTAACAAGGATTTGAAATCTACAATAAGAAAAGGGAGAGCAAGAAACAACTTCAGATACCCTCAAAGAATCCAAGTCACCAGGCCAAAATGAACCGAAAGAAATGGCAAATGTGATTATGGAGTCATTGTCAGTGATCTTTGAAAATCATGAAAAATAGGAAAGGTGACAAAGGATTGGAGAATGGCAATTTTTTTTTTTAGAGAAAAGAAAGTTTGCAAAAAATTGTCCTACTATGTACCAGACTTGATGCTAAGTGCTTTATAGATAATATTTCATTTGATCCTCATATTACACGCATAAATACACTTCCTAACTGTTGTCTTGTGTACCCATCAAAACAGACATTAGATCCAAGATCCTGATTAATTTAAGCGCTTCTTATTGCTATAAGAAATTGACAGCTTCTCCATTTAAATTTCCTTCATAAAATATTCTGCTGCTATTACATGCTTATGTTCAGTTGTCAGCAGACTCTAAACAAATGAACAATGAGATAAAAATAGCCTACAAAAGTAGCAAAACTAAGATTTGAAACTGCAGTCCTTGATGATCCTTTAAAATAATTCAGGATTTATTTTGTTTATGATTGGGTAATAGTGGATAGTAGGCTGTGATAAATACCACATCCCTTACAATTTTAACTTTCCAAATCACCAGTTCTGTTGAATCACCATTTGTTCTGGCTAAGATCTCCACCAATGCCTTGGTAATGAGGAATTCTGATTTATTAAGTAAACTAGTTAACAGTGAGTTAAAAGCCTTTAAACATATAATTTAACTTTTTACTGTCCAACTCTTTGTATGAGTTATAGAGCCCTTGGGCAGCTAGGTGACGCAGTGGATAGAGCACCAGAGTTGGATTCACGAAGATCTGAGTTCAAATTTGAACTCAGACACATAACACTCACTAGCTGTCTGACTCTGGGCAAATCAATTAACCCCAATTGCCTCACCACAACAAAAACAAAGGAAAAAAAGTTATACAGCCCTAAACCACAGTTAGTAACTGCCAAGGTTAAAATTTAATAGATGCACAAAAAAAAAACAAAACTGGTCCACTCCTAGATCACATGGACCATTTGTAAAGCAACAGAAAACTACTATGTCAATTACTCTAGAGCTGCACATATGCCAATGGCTATCATGATCAAACTGTAACTCTATGAATCTTCTCCAGAATATCAACAGAAAAGAAATCACACAGTTTCAATATTAAGAATCCCTGGCTTAATATTGTGGGTGATTAATTTATAAATTATTTGAGGGCAGGAGTGAAGGTGTTGATCTTTCTCCCCTCTAGCACTCAGCACAAGGTGTATAAGTGATTAATAAAAGTTTGCTGAATAAGTGAATTAATGAAGAAAAGTACCATTCATATTCTCAGTTCAGAAGGTAGTCTTGCAGGGATAATATCACTGCAATTTCATTCTCTTCTTAATTTTATTCCAAGCTTCTAACAAAAATGTAGACACGTGCAAATTTCTTGTGCATTGTTATAAAAAGCTATGCTTTCCCGAACTACTTTTAAATAGACCTGTTTCTCAAATTATAATCTTCCACTGACATATTCCAACCATGAGTAGCCATTCTATAATACCTCTTAGATTGTTTCTATCTCCTTGCATTACGGTTGAATTTACCTGCTTGTACTAACACTTCTTGTTCATTTTCTTTAATCTATCAGATAAAATATTTGTAAAATGTAAAATGGACAATAGTCATGTGAGGCTTTTAAAAAGTCTCCTGACTCACTTTCACTTATTTTCTTCTGGGAATTACTAGGAACCTGCTTCATCATTGTTCTTTTTTATCTCTCTTCTTTTTCCTCCACAGTATCCAGTTTTATTGTGGATATTTCTCTACTTTTTCCCTCAAATCTGAGTTTAAATCTCTTGGTTAACTCAGTGACACTTCCTGCCAAAACTTCTTCCTTGTTTGTATAAGATACACCCTAGGCTTAGATCTTTTTATCAGGAATCTATCTTTGACCACAAAATGTGACTGGTTCTAGTAACATAAGCAAGATACAGTCTAGAAAGTTACATCTTAACATTTTAGAGCTGATTAATTTATTCAACAACTTATTAAGCATTTCCTCGGTTCAAAGTATTGTGCTAAGAGAATTATAAAGATAAAAGTAAACAAGATCCTAGGCTGTGAGTTTACAATTTTGTAAGAGAGATGATACCCAATTAAAAGTGAATGAATATTTATTCAAGATCAATATGTTTAAGATACTTGGCTAAGTCCTTGAGATACCCAAAATAAATAATTAAATCAATAGATGAACAAACAAATAAATGAATAAATCATAAAACATTCGCTGACAAAACATTCAGTGAGCTTATAGTCTACTGTAATGCATATGTACAGAAATAACTATTAAAAAGTGTTTTGAGAATTGAGTGTTAGGTCTTTTCTGGCTGCCAGAAGACATCAGAGAAAATGTCAGGAAGGGGTTAATATTTGAGCTGAACTTTGAAATATGGATAGGTCATTAACATATATGAAGTTTAACGAGATAAGGTAAGAGTTGAAAAGTTTTGAATGCCAGGCTAAGGTATATGTAGTAGTAAATAAACTACTTATTATTGGAAAACCTCTAGAATTTCACTGAAGGTTGTCAAGAAGTGAAGAGACATTATCAGAGCTATTCTATAAGATGATTTATTTGGTACTGACATCAATCAATTAAACAAACTATAAGTCTTCTAAAATATTGTCCCTCAGGTAAGGAAAGCCAAAGGACTCCTCTGCTAACGTTGTTCTCACTCCCACTGGTCTTTCAATTCCTCAGATCAAGTCCCATATCCATGAAGCCCATGAAGTGGTTTGACTGTCATTTGAAAATCAAACAGTAGCATTTGTAGTTCATATATACACGATTAAGTAAATTATTTTCCAACATAGATTTTAAGACCTTTGAAAACAAGAACTATCTCTTGTGTTTTTTAGATATCCCACAGATTTGGTCACACTGCTTTATGCCCAATATTTGTATATCCACTGAAATATAAACAGAGAGATAACTTAAAAGTCTGCAAACTGCTATTCCATTACTGTCAGACTTTATCCAACATTACTAAACCTTGAGCCTTGACAAATGCTCCATTTCAACCACATACAATCATTTTATAGTGTATAACCTTAGACACACTGAGTGGCAATGTGAAGGGAAAGAGGCCAACCAATCCTTGTGTTATGTGAACATGGTGTGTAAGTGTATTTAGAGCTGATTAATTTATTCAACAACTTATTCAACTAAATTGTCCCATGAGATCAGAGATCTAAGAGGCTCGCTGTATTACTTCTCACATTGGAACCTAAAGGAATTCTGTTTTTTTCCCCCACAGAAATTAGTTTTAACAGAAAGGTAAAGTGGGAGAATATTGTTAACATTCTATTTAAAGAACCTAATAATCCTAAGGGCATATGACACGAAGAACAAAAATATAGTATTGGATGTTTCCTTTTTCATTTAACATTCAGAAACTGAATATTATAAGCAAGACAATCCAGCCTTAGGAACAAAAAGATGTGGGGTGAGTCAGTTCTTGCCATCAAAAAGTTTACAATCTCATTCTTCTTTGAAGCAATTCAGGCTACACTTACCCACCTCTCTTCACAATCCTGAGTATAAAGGACTGGTTATAATTAAGTTCACTTACACAGGACCTCAATGTAACATTAACTGCTGCAAAAGCAGTGGTAATTAATACATTGTTGTAATGTCAACCAACTGCTTCCACTGAAAGAAACTTGAGAGAAGCCGGAGTTTCATGCACCCCAACCCCAAAAAGCATTTTCTTTTTTAAAGAATAACTATTGGTGAAAAACAGACAAGTCTGCAAGAATCTAGGGTCTCTCAATAATCCTGCAGAACATAAAGACCAAGGGCTCATGAGACATGTCATTGCTCTAATGATCGTGGGGAAACTAGTTTCCAGTCGGATCTCCCTCTCCATAAGTTGATTCTTTGGATCTCTTTACTATTTGAATCCCCTTCTATTCCCTCCAGGCTGGTGGTGGTTAAGGCAGGGCGACAGCGACGGGGCAGGGGTCCCTTTCCCGACTGGACATCTATGTGTAAAGCTGGGGCTTCTACTCTCGGTCTCTCAATCAAAAAATCTAGATCAACTTGAACCCTAGGCGGACACCCTCTAAGCCCCAAGCTCCCTCCTCTTCTGAATTCTCAAGGCAGAAGGAAAAGGAAGGCAACCGGGCAAGGACAGGGTCTGCTTGCATCTAACCACCCTGCCCAGGCAGGGGTAGTCTGGTCTGGCCAGGCGGTGGAGAAAGGGAAAGAGTCGAGGGTGCCGGGACTGAACTTTCCATTCTTGACCCTAGTCGGACAACAAAACTTTGCTGTCTTTGAAAGCGAGACACGCTCATAAGCACAAAGGGTCAAAGTGCGGAGAAAGGGGAGGCTGAGAATTGAAACCCCGGCTGCTTGATTCCAGGCTGCAAACTTCTTTCCGGACAAAGGCTCGGAGGCTTGCAAAGAGCCTCTGTCTTGCTTCCAGAAAGCTGCAGGCTTAAGACAATCGGAGGAGGAAAAGAGAAGGAGGACGAGGAGGAGAAGGAAGAGAAGGAGGAAAAGGAGGAGAAAAAAGAAGCTGAGGAGACCCCCACCCACCCCTTCCCTTCGCGTCCCTCCCCATCGCCCCCCCCAAATCTCCTGGCAGGACCAGGCCCCGCTGACAACCTCGGTGGCAGCTTCAGAAGAAGAGTTGGGAAGTTCCCCCTGAGACGCGCCCCCGCGCCTCCCGCCGCCTTCACCTTGCTGAAGACCTCCAGGTCATCCTCGTCCTCATCTAGGTCCAGCACCTCGGGCTGCAGCAGCACTGCAGCCCCACGGCCGCCACTGGGGCTCTCCCCGCCGCCGCTGCCCGCCCCGCCGCCGCCGCCGCCCGCTCCGCCCGGGGGCCCCGGGGAGAAGGGCTGCGGCACCCAGCTCTCGCCGTCCATCCCGTCCGTGTGTGAGAGCCCAGCCGGCCGCCCGGGCGGCTTCGACTCCCCCGAGCTTGCCCATTGGCTCGGCGCACATCCTCCGCCTCCCCTCCCCGTCCTCTCCCCAGCCCCTGGGCCCGCCGCGCTGCGCAGAAGCGGAACTACCGGGCTGAGAGCCGTGCTACGCGGCGCGGAGGCTGAACCGGGGCTGGGCTGCGCTGCGCTGGACTGGACTGGGCTGGGCTGGACTGGGCTGGGCTGGCAGCCGCAGCTGTCACGCCCTGGGCAGACCACTGGGGAGGCAGAACACTGCCCCGGGGTCGATGGGAGACGGACAGCCCCAGGGAGCGAAGAGCACGCAGGCCCTTAGGTTGCATGTGAGATCTCCCCAGCAGTGCTCCTCTGAGAAAGAGCAGGCTTGGAGGCTAGGAGAGGGGCCCCGAGGGACCCCCAAAGTACGAGGAAGACCAGATCATAGCGGTAGGGGGCGGGGTGGAGAGAGGGCGGGGAAGAATGCACAGAGTGGACGAACAGAGTTTTTTAGGAAAGGAAAGCAGAGGGCTCTGATTGAACAGATAAGTACTGGAAGAAGGGAGATGGCAGATTTCCTGTATTTCTCCCCCGTGTTCTCGTTCTCGTTCCATTGTGCTCAGATTATCAAGTGTATCTGGTTTACTTATGCAAAAAAGAAAACACACACACGAAGCTGTTTCA